ATATCCTAATAAAAATTCTATGAAATGGTAATGAAAAAGCGCAGGAGCCTAATGAAATATCCTAATGAAAAGTCTCAGAAATGATAATGAAAGGGCCAAAGACACCCATGGCTGTAGGACTATGCCTTATATATTGGACTAATCCACCCATGCCTATTGCATAGGGGATGGAAATATCCAGGCCCTTTGGGATGTGGACTGGTGCAGGCCACCCTACATGATATATTGCCTCTCTGTATTTGTTTCTGTATTTGTTCTCCAGCTGATTTGTCAATATTAACAAACAACAAATACAATTTTGGCTTCAATGAGAGTATTTTGTCCCTTGGCCATGTTCCTCTGCAAAAGAAGGCCAGAATATATATATATATAGATCTGCAGATATTTTTATGCATCCTAGAATAGTTTCCCCCGCTTCTCCATGCCCAGAATAGATGGATGCGGCAAACCGCATCTGGATGTCGTTTGGTATGTAGGGGCCTCTGATAAATACATGTCAACAAACATCTCCGTTGGCTTCAAATGAAAGCATTCCGTCCCTTGCCCGTGTTCCTCTGCAAAGGAAGCCCAGAAACCACAAATATATATATCTGTAGATATTTTTATACATTTTAGAAGAGTTTCCCTTGCTTCTCCGTGCCCAGAATAGCTGGATGCAACAAACTGAATCTGGATGTCATTTGGTGTTTCGGGGCCTCTGATAAATAGATGCAAATAATGAATATATTTACTCCTCGTCCTCCTCTACCAGGGCCTCTAATATTGGATCGACCGATGATCCAGGGCCTTCGTTGCTCTCCTCTTCACTAGTTAATGGTACCAGTGGCTTCTCCCATAGTCGGGTGAAGCGCTGGTGAAGGGAAAGCTGAATGCAAGCCTGACGGCTCGCATACGCCCTCACCCCTTCGCGCGTTGGATTGTCTAAACCTGGCCATCCCCCTCGGCATTCATTCCACCACTCGACCTTCCACTCCAATGTCTTCCGGACCCTCCGCATCTCCTCCTTCAGTAACTGCACCTCTTCTGTCCACCTTAGATGTCGAGCCCTCGCTTTTGCCCATTCAATACGAACCGCTGCAAACGAGCGGCTATTAGTCAACCATGTTCATGCTAAACAAGTAGTCTACTTACCCTTGTGCAGTACCGCATCACTGCCGTCCCCAATCGCATCAGCAGTTGTCCAAATCCACGACACTGATTTCTTCCCTTGACCCAAACCCAACTTGGCTGCTTTGCGTTGTTTCTTCGA